CGCAAAGTCCCCGGTGCACGCGCGCACATGGCCGAACGGCCAACGCACCCTCCGCACCTCCCTCCCTCGCCCCACCCAGCACGAACACATCACCTCACTCCCCCACAGCACACACACACACACACCACAACACGCCCTAATCGTATCTCCTCCTTCTTTTTCCCCAATCATACCTCCTCCCCCTCCCTCTTCTTCCCCTCCAAGTCCCACCCCCCCCTTCCTGTAGAGAAAGGGAGGGAAGGAAAGAAGGAAAGAGAGAAGGAAGGAAAAAAGAGACAGCAGAAGAGAAAGAAAAAGGGGGAAGGAAGGAAAGAGGTAGAGAAGGAAAATAAGAGAAAGAGGGAGGGAAAGAAAAAGGGGAAAGAAGGAAGGAGAGGAGGAAAAGGGAAGAAGGAAGGAAAGGGGAAGTGAGAAGGGAAGAGAGAGAAGAGGAGGGAAGAAAGAGAGAAGAGAAGAGAAAGAAAAAGGGAGAAGGAAGGAAAGAGATAGAGAAGGAAGCGAAGAAGGAAAGATGGGAAGGAAGGAAGGAAGGAAGGAGGGAAAGAAGGAAAGAAAGAGGGAAGGTTGGCCACAGCAAATAAAAAGTGAAAGAAGGAAGGAAACATGGAGGGAAGAAAGGAGGCAAAGGAAGAAAGGGGGAGGGAATGAAGGAAAGAGAGAAGGTACCTCTCTTTCATAATAGACCAGATATCTACCTCTACTATGAAAAGATTTACTATAGGCCACAGCAACATGTGGCAGGGTACAGCTAGTAATAATAATAATAATCTTTATTTATACCCCTCCACCGTCTCCCCCAACGGGGACTCGGGCAGCTTACATGAGGCTAAGCCCAGAAACCTAGAATACTAACAACGGGGACTCTTTTCCTCCCTCCAGGGTAGAAGGCATTAGGAAAAGAAGGAGTCCCCATTCCAGATGGATGAACTCGACCAAGCTCTCAATCAGGCAATGTGTTCTTAGGGTCACCAAAAGCCAAAATGGGACGAAAAGAGCAAAAACAGGGCATTTGAATTCAAAGGTGGGTGGTGGCGGTGGTTTCAGCACTGTCCCTGTCAAACCGGGAACACTGGAGAGTCTGGCAACGTGCCCAGTTGGGAACTGCTTTGCTAGCGACATGGAAACTCGCTCTCATATTTCGGAAACAGCTCTGTCGGAAGAGAAAAACAGTGACCTTTCGCACGGACGATCCCAACCCCAAAAGGGAGCCGCTCTGTGGTTCCGGAGTGTGGCTTAATGGTCCCTAGGAAACAGCCGGGGCTGACGTAATCCCGAATGCCATTACATTGCCTCACTGCCCCGAACGAAGGCAGCAGCCTGTAAAGAGAAAGCCCATTGATCTGGAACCGCTACTTTAGCTGGGGGCAGATCCCATGATACTTGGATGCTCTTGTTGTGCGCTGGGAGAGGGATGTGGTCGAAAACGCCCCATTTCTCCCTTAGACTTCCACATGATCTGGTCTTCGTTCCCAAAGAGAACATCCAAATGAGAGCATTGCACGCCAATTTTGATTCCTCCTTCGGTGCCCAAACACTTAGCCTTGCCATAAAACTTCAGCGGAGCATTTAGAAATCCAAAAATTTAGCAACGGAGAGAATGCAAATACAGTGTCCCCTCACTTATTGAGGAGGTTCAGTTCCAGGACCCCCCGTGAAAAGTGAAAATCTGCAAAATAGGGGTGCTCTGCCCACTCGGCGGTGAGCTCCTCCTTGCCACCTCTGCTGTTCCCGGGCTCGGAGGCCCCTTCCTTGGGTGCCGTTGATCGTGATGCCAGGCTCGGTTGAAGTCTCTGAGGAAGGAGCGGGGAGCAAGTCCCAGAATAAGGCATAATGCCTGGCTCCCCCTCCCCTCCTCCCCCCATGGCTACCAGGGGGAGGAGGAAAACCCCGCAAAACAGCAAATCCGAAATAAGTGAATCACAAAATAGCGAGGGAACACTGTATGCTAAATTTCTTTGGGAAATAGATAGTGTTTTTAGCATCTCACCAAACTAAATGCAGAATAATCACAGGATGTCTTAAACCTACACCTGTTGATAAGCTCTACAAGTTAGTCTGGATGCGGAACGAACGCAATAGAGGACTCCGAGTGCAAAAATACGTGTAGGAGGAACAAATCGCATTTCTATTTACAGATCGACCCGCACGTGGAATATTTTTCAGGCACTCACGGTGCATCTAGACTCGAGGAGGAACCCGCCGTCGAGTGCACAGAGTGTCCCTACTCGGCAATGGCCTCTTCCTCCTCGCCACTTCTGCTGCTCCCGGCCTCGAAGACCCCTTGGGCACCGTTGATGGTGATGCCAGGCTCGGCTGAGGTCTCCAAGGAAGGAGCAGGGAGCAATGGAGGAGGCGAGGAGGAGGAGGAGGCTACCACCAATGAGCCCAGAGACAAGCCCCAGGATAAGGCACAGCACCTGGCTCCCCCTCCCCTCCTCCTCTTCTCCCCCCCCCCAAAAGCTCCTGGGGGGAGGAGGAAAAACCCACAAAACAGCAAGTCCACAATAAGCGAATCGCAAAATAGCGAGGGAACACTATGCTAAATTTCTTTGGGAAATAGATAGTGTTTTTAGCATCTCGCCAAACTACATGCAGAATAATCACAGGATGTCTTCAACCTACACCTGTTGATAAACTACAAGTTAGCTGGCATTGTCCCCCCTGATGTGCAAGGGGAAGTTGCTGCTGAATGTGAGAGAAATAAGGTTGAACACTGTGAAAGCCACCCACTACATGGCTACCAGCCTCCTCCCAGTAGACTCAAATCAAGGGAAAGCTTCATGAGAACTACCATTCCTCTTGGCATCCCCCCAGCAACAGCAAGGGTATCTCTCTGGATTATTTGGCGCAGAGCCATGGCAGTTAAAGCCATGTCAAACTGTATTCATTCTACTTACACTAGGCTCCAGGAGCACCCGTGATAAGTGAAAATCCGCGAAATAGGGACACTCCACCCACTCGGTAGCAGCCTCCTTCTCCTCGCTGCCTCCACTGCGAGGAGAAGGCATCAGAGGCCCCTTGAGCGACGTTGATGGCGCTGCCAAGCTGGCCTGGCAGTGCCCGTCAACGGAGCCCAAGGGGCTTCCGAAGCCAGGAGTAGCACAGGCGGTGAGAAGGGGAAGGCTGCTGCCTCCTCCTTGCCACCTCTACTGCTCTAGCCTCAGAGGCCCCTTGGGTGCCGTTGATGGCGAGGAGCAAGGATTGGCTCATGCTTGCTTTTGGGTCGAGCTGATTTTCATACCGGAGGGGCCTTCGTACCAGGAGGGGCCTTCCCGCTACATGCTCCCCAAGGTGACAAAAGTAACCAAGGAACAGATGTGTGTGTAAGGAGGAACATGTGTCTCTCCGAGGCACAGAAGGGAAAGGCAAGCCCATAGACAGAGACACATAGCGCACCCATTCGCTCCAGCTAGTCCAGCGCGCGACAGCCATGTTACTAACAGGAGCGGGACGCAGGGAGCATACAACACCCTTGTTGTTCCAGCTCCACTGGCTGCCGATCTGCTACCGGGCCCAATTCAAGGTGCTGGTGTTGGCCTACAAAGCCCTAAACGGTTCCGGCCCAAAATACCTGTCTGACCGCATCTCGGCCTATGAGCCCACGAGGACTTTGAGATCGTCCGGGGAGGCCCTTCTCTCGATCCCGCCTGCCTCACAGGCACGCCTGGCGGGGACGAGGGACAGGGCCTTCTCGGTGGTGGCCCCCCGGCTGTGGAACACCCTCCCTGTGGACATCAGACTGGCGCCCTCTCTTATGACATTCCGCAAGAGATTAAAGACGTGGTTGTTTGAGAAGGCGTTTGAGTAAGTGCTGTAACAATTGGCAATGACGACTGGAACGGAACATGGATAACGAGATTTGGATTGTGATTCAATGATGAGACGTCGCGAATGATTTAGCGTAATGGTATTATGGATAGTGATGTTGTTTATTGTTGTTGTGATATTGCTTATGTTGTAATTGTTCCTGATTTTATATGTTGTACACCGCCGTGAGTCGCCCTAGGGCTGAGAACGGCAGTCTACAAGTGCAGTAAATAAATAAATAAATAAATTCGGGCCAATCAACTCCCCCCCCCCCCCACACACACACACACATACACAAAAGAGAAAGTAAACACCATTACCGGCCTGATATGTAGTGTAGTCCAGGCAAAAACCAAATCAGTAACACAGTTTAATCATAACAATAAAATAAAATAATAAAATAATAATAAAAACTAGTCAAAAAATCAGAGAGAGAGAGAGGTGTTCCATAACTGCTGCTTAAGTTATGAAACTATGAAACTACCATATGTGCGATTCACAGTTGACCATGATGGGAAACGAAAGAAAACGGTTGCACGCACAACTCTGTTATCTATCATCTCCCAATCCCCATGGACGCTGGTTAACTTATAGTCTATTGTAAACCAAGCGTAAACAGACTTGGGATTACTGTTGTTAAATTCCCTTTTTCTTTCTTGCCTTGGTCTGAGAAGGAAACGTTCTAGGCCCCTCTCTTGGACACCCATTTTACCCTACAGATCTGGTCTTTCGACTTGGATGGATTTCAAGGTGTCAAAACAAGGATGCGAATCCTTCCTTTTCTCGCTGATGACAGTTGCAACCATTTCCCAGCTGTCTCCTCCGTTCTGTCTGGAGTTCAGCTGCAGACCAGATTCCGTCTTAAACGCAAACTCAGCATCTTCTGCAGAACCAAAATTAAGTACGGCCTTTGTCGAAAGGATAGGGGGGAACCCCAAAAGCATTCAGAATACTCAAAATGCCATTGTACCCTCGTGATACTGGTTTATCATGGATCATAGTCACCCTTTCAAGCTCCAAAATAGTCGTTATCGCTCGTGGTTTTATAAGGAGGGGTGTATTTACACTATTGATGCAGTTGGATATCAAGAAGGTCCTTGTATTTTGAAGCATAGCTAATAAAAATAACAGATAATAATCACTAAATATTGTGATTGATCCCAATAGCAAATTGCACAGAAGTGTTGACTTACCATGTGATAGTTGACCATCTCTTGAAGGCTGTCTCCAAACTTGTCCAGGCATTCCTGCAGATGGAAATAAAGCAGAACAATGAGGAAATGCCACAAGAAACAGATAATGTATACAATCTGGTCTAGAAATTCATGTGGCACTTTCCCGTCCCAACTGAATGACCCTTGACGTATCCATGGGTCATATCAAAAATGACCCTCCTCATAAATGTTTAACTTATTAGCAGCAATGTGACCCAGCACCAGTAGCCCAAAGTGAAAAAAAAAGAACAAAAACACACAGGTCAATGTTACCTCTTCCTTTGGAGGCTTTTCTTTGTAGTAGAATGATATGGTTGTGCTATTTACAAGAACAAGGTTTCCATAACACAAATAAAGTTCTTTATACTTCCTTCTTTGCTTCCACGCTGGGCTTCTTTCTCATGTTCCGCTCTCACTGAGCCTCCTCTTACACGGAATTTACACAGGAGTTTCACACAGCAGCTTTTTACACGCAGCAGGCTTCACACTGGAGCTTTAAACACAATGGCCCTCAACCTGGGTCTTCTCTCATACCAAAGCTGCTCACACCAGACCTACTAACACTGAGGCCTTTCTCCCACAGAGGCCCTCTCACACTGAGGGATCTCAGACTGACACCTTTCACCCACAGAGGCGAAATAACACTGAGGCCTACTCATACTGGAGCTTTAAACACAACAACCCTCAACATGGGGCTTCTCTCACACCAAAGCTTCTCACACTAGACCTACTAACACTGAGGCCTACCTCACACTGAGGCCTTTCTCCCACGGAGGCCCTCTCACACTGAGGGATCTCAGACTGACACCTTTCACCCACTGAGGAGAACTAACACCGAGGCCTACTCATACTGGAACTTTAAACACAATGGCCCTCAACCTGGGGCTTCTCTCACACTAAAGCTTCTCACACCAGATCTACTAACACTGAGGCCTACCTCACACTGAGGCCTTTCTCACACCGAGGGATCTCAGACTGACACCTTTCACCCACTGAGGCGAAATAACACTGAGGCCTACTCTTACTGGAGCTTTAAACACAATGGCCCTCAACCTGGGGCTTCTCTCACACCAAAGCTTCTCACACCAGAACAACTAACACTGAGGCTTACCTCACACTAAGGCCTTTCTCCCACAGAGGCCCTCTCACACTGAGGGATCTCAGACTGACACCTTTCACCCACTGAGGCAAACTAACACTGAGGCCTACTCATACTGGAACTTTAAACACTATGGCCCTCAACCTGGGGCTTCTCTCATACCAAAGCTTCTCGCACCAGACCTACTAACACTGAGGCCTACCTCATGCTGAGGCCTTTCTCCCACAGAGGCCCTCTCACACTGAGGACTCTCTCTGTCACCTTTCACCCACTGAGGCAAACTAACACTGAGGCCTACTCATACTGGAGCTTTAAACACAATGGCCCACAACCTGGGGCTTCTCTCACACCAAAGCTTCTCACACCAGACCTACTAACACTGAGGCCTGCCTTACACTGAGGCCTTTCTCCCACAGAGGCCCTCTCACACTGAGGGATCTCAGACTGACACCTTTCACCCACTGAGGCAAACTAACACTGAGGCCTACTCACACTGGAGCTTTAAACACAATGGCCCTCAACCTGGGGCTTCTCTCACACCAAAGCTTCTCACACCAGACCTACTAACACTGAGGCCTATCTCAGACTGACACCTTTCACCCACTGAGGCGAACTAACACTGAGGCCTACTCATACTGAGGCCTACTAACACACTGAGGCCTTGCTTTTTTGGGTTTTTAAGTCCTTTTGGCTGTTTTTTTGGGAAGGGTTTATGAGTGATGGTCACTCGTTGATCTGTTAGAGGTGTAGTGTCCAAATTGTGTGCCAATTCATCCAGTGGTTTTTGCGTTATGTTAACCCCACGAACGAACATTACATTTTTATTTATATAGATATACTCAGGGGTGGCATGAACATATCTCAGGCAAAAAGGAGTCCCGAGTAGAAAAAAAATTATAATAAGCCCAGGTCTAGATGACCTCTGGGATCCCTTGCAATCCCTGTGATGTTAAACACGGCATTTCTTGGTGAAGACAGCGGAAGCCGGCTGTTCAGAGAGGTGTCACTCTGCCATTCCGTCTTTTTGATCCTCGTCCCAAAGGCACGGCTTGGGTTTCCTTTTTAGCGAGAGCTTATCTTCCTCTTCCCAAATAACGGATGCTCGCTGACCTACTTCAGCTGCATTGTCTCTGCTTTCTGGTGTGTGTGTGTGTGTTTTTCCAGAAAGCCGACGCGATTCCTTGAGGCATCAAGCTCCTCGGATATTTTTAGCTTAGCGAGGGATCCGTATGTATGTGTGCGAGAGAGAGGAAGAGATGCGCATTGCCCAATCCAAACATTTTTAATGTATTCATTCCTTTTCATGAGGAGGCAGAGAATAACACGGGCCCCTAAACCCCCGCGCGTCCCAAGTTGGGCGCCTTTATTTGCCGATTTCCAACCTTCCTCTCACAGACAGCTTCCCCAAGGCCCACGTTAATTAGCAATCTGTCCGATTAAGAAAAAGAATCTCCTTTGGTCAATGGAAAGGGGTGCTTTCCACATGTACGAGGGGCGTTCGTTAAAGATGTTCCCTGACCCACTTCCTGTGGACGGAGAGCAATGGAACTTGGCCAAGTACTGAGTCCTTCTCTCCATGGGTGCCACCTCAGGGGGGACACTTCTCCCATCTTTTGAAGCGACTATAAACAACAGACTTGTGTGTTTGACTCAGAAATTTCCTTGGTTCAGATGTAGTTAGGCTGTTTAGCATTTTTGAAACGAGTTCCGACATACCTGCTTGCTGCCCCCCCCCCCCCAAATATTAAGAATTTGAAACAAAAGGAGCCTGTGATTCCTAAGTTTCGCGTGTGTTGGGATCTAGCTGTGACGAATCGACAGCAAACTCTGTGTTTACGTTGCTCCAAAAGGCTTTGTCTGATAAGGAGTAAATGTGGGGGAAAGCAAAACCAATTCCTGAGTTTTGGGATATAAGGTTTGCCTCAAGGGGAAACCTGTTAGATCAGGCACTGTTTGGAAACCAAGTTCATGTTCCCTGGAAATCCTGTTCAAGGGGTCTTGTTCTGTGGAGTTTTTAGCCTTTTGGATTGTGTTTGCATCGTGAGTTTTGGGATATAAGGTTTGCCTCAAGGGGAAACCTGTTAGATCAGGCACCATTTGGAAACCAAGTTCATGTGCCCTGGAAATCCTGTTCAAGGGGTCTTGTTCTGTGGAATTTTTAGCCTTTTGGATTGTGTTTGCATCCTGTTTGATTCCTGTTTGGATTAATGCTGCATTGGATTGCTTTTATTTCTTGTGTGGACATTGTTTTGTGTTACAGCTTTTTATGGACTTATTACTTTTTGGAACCTTCTGATTTTCTTACAAGCATTTATTTCCTTTGGCTATTTACTACACTTCAATAAAAGAAGATTTGGAGGTGGTGAATCAGGATGCTTCCATGGCATCGACTGGACTTGAGTCCCAGGATCAGAGTGATGGACCCAGCTTTCACCTTGTGTGATCAATCTGTTGACAAAGTCCTCCTGGTTTCCATGGCACATCATTGTCAAGAGAGATGGAGAGCATTCAACTCGTTCCTGCTTCTGGAAAGATGTGAGCAGCCAGGGGACCCAGTGAGCGGAGAACTTTTGCAGGTAAAGATTGTGCAGGTAAAGATTTGCAGGTAAAGATTGCAGGATTGTGTTTGCATCCTGGTCACAGAGTAACCAGATCCTGCTGAGAGGCGAAGCCAAACCTGTTGGCATGCCTCTCCAGCCAATCAGTGCTGGAAAAGGAGGGAGGGAGAGGCAGAGGCAGTGATTGCTAAAAAATGTTTCAGCACCTGTCAAATATGAGGGCAGTTCACTAAAGATTCCCCCTGACCCATTTCCTGTGGACGGAGAGCAATGAAACTTGGCCCAGTTTTGAGTGTTGCACTCCAGATCAGGAAAAAGCCCTCTGACTTTAAAGCACACCACATGAAGAGTGAAGAAACAAATCTTCTTTTATTGAAGCGTAGTAAATAGCCAGAAGAAATAAACGCTTCTAAGAAAAGAAGCAAGTTCCAAAAACTAATAAGTCCATAAAAAGCTGTAACACAAAACAATGTTCACACAAGAAATAAAAGCAAACCAATGCAGCATTAATCCAAACAGGAATCAAGCAGGATGCAAAGACAATCTAAAAGGCTAAAAACTCCACAGAACAAACCCCCTTGAACAGGATTTCCATGGCACATGAACTTGGTTTCCAAACGATGCCTGATCTAACAGGTTTCCCCTTGAGGCAAACCTTATATCCCAAAACTCAGGAATTGGTTTCGCTTTCCCCCACATTTACTCCTTATCAGACGAAGCCTTTCAGAGCGACGTAAACACCGAGTTTGCTGTCGATTCTGGCTAATCTTCAGCCACCTATTCTTCAGCTCCCTATCTGGCTGCTTATTAAAATTCCCAGGTGTCAGATTGTTTTCCAAACCCAAATTTTGAGAGCTCACAGAGAGAGGGAGCGAACTATCATTGCTAGGCCCAGCAGGAATATTCTCATGAGAAACTGCCCTTTGCACTGGGGCCTCTCTGTCATTGTCTGCCTGAAAATCATTGACCAAACCATCTCCATCTTGTACTTCAGCCTCAGCACCATCATTTCTCTCATCATTTCCCACATCAGGATCCTGAAACACAAGCACAGGCTGATTCCCAACCGGGGTGCTTTGAATGTGATTTTCCTGCCTCTTGGCAGAATGGGGTTGGACTAGATGGCCTACGAGGTCTCTTCCAACTCTAAGATTCTATGATTCTAGAGGTGGAAGTCAGATGGTGTGAGGTTGGGTGAATCAGGTGGATGTGGTAGAACTTCAAAGCCAGAGGAGCATGCTTCTTCCATTTGGGCAACAGGTGAGTTGGGAACGGGTGCATTGTCTTGCAGGAGGTGGACACCTTTGGAGAGCATGCCACATTGTCTCTTGGTTCTGATGGCCTCCTGCCATATCTTCGGAATAGTCTACCCCAGTGACCATGGTCCCCTTTGCTAGGAAATCCATCAATACTCCTCCGTGGTGGTCCCAAAATCCTGAGAGTTGGGCACGTGCCTTCTTTGGAGGTGGTGAATCAGGATGCTTCCATGGCATCGACTGGACTTGAGTCTCAGGATCAGAGTGATGGACCCAGTTTTCATCCTGTGTGATCAGTCTGTTGACAAAGTTCTCCTGGTTTCCATGGCACATCATTGTCAAGAGAGATGGAGGGCATTCAAGACGTCCAATGTGGGCGAGGCAAAACTACGGTGAGGTGGATCTGTAATTGGTTAAGTGGACGAACACAGAGAGTGCTCACTAATGCTTCCTCTTCATCTTGGAAAGAAGTGACAAGTGGAGTGCCGCAGGGTTCCGTCCTGGGCCCGGTCCTGTTCAACATCTTTATTAATGACTTAGATGAAGGCCTAGAAGGCAGGATCATCAAGTTTGCAGACGACACCAAATTGGGAGGGAGAGCCAGAGGACAGGAGCAGAATTCAAAACGATCTTGACAGATTAGAGAGATGGGCCAAAACTAACAAAATGAAGTTCAACAGTGACAAATGCAAGATACTCCACTTTGGCAGAAAAAATGAAATGCAAAGATACAGAATGGGTGACGCCTGGCTCGAGAGCAGTACGTGTGAAAAAGATCTTGGAGTCCTCGTGGACAACAAGTTAAACATGAGCCAACAATGTGATGTGGCGGCAAAAAAAGCCAATGGGATTTTGGCCTGCATCAATAGGAGCATAGTGTCTAGATCTAAGGAAGTAATGCTACCCATGCTCTATTCCGCTTTGGTTAGACCACACCTGGAATATTGTGTCCAATTCTGGGCACCACAATTCAAGAGAGATATTGACAAGCTAGAATGTGTCCAGAGGAGGGCGACTAAAATGATCAAGGGTCTGGAGAACAAGCCCTATGAGGAGCGGCTTAGGGAACTGGGCATGTTTAGCCTGAAGAAGAGAAGGCTGAGAGGAGATATGATAGCCATGTATAAATATGTGAGAGGAAGCCACAGGGAGGAGGAGGGAGCAAGCTTGTTTTCTGCTTCCTTGGAGACTAGGACGCGGAACAATGGCTTCAAACTACAAGAGAGGAGATTCCATCTGAACATTAGAAAGAACTTCCTGACTGTGAGAGCCGTTCAGCAGTGGAACTCTCTGCCCCGGAGTGTGGTGGAGGCTCCTTCTTTGGAAGCTTTTAAACAGAGGCTGGATGGCCATCTGTCAGGGGTGATTTGAATGCAATATTCCCGCTTCTTGGCAGAATGGGGTTGGACTGGATGGCCCATGAGGTCTCTTCCAACTCTTTGATTCTATGATTATCATGATTCTACATGATTCTATGATTCCTGCTTCTGGAAAGATGTGAGCAGCCAGGGGACCCAGTGAGCGGAGACCTTTTGCAGGTGAAGATGGTCTTGGGTGATATTTTCCACTGACCCCACACTCGTCTTGACATTTATTTATTTACTATATTTCGATACCGCCATTCTCAGCCCGGGGGCGACTCATGGCGGTTTACAGAATGGCACAATTCGATGCCCATAACAATATAAAAATAACATTTTGGGCGAGGGGGTGAATGGTTACGCTGTGATATTCCAAAATTGCGACCTCCACTAGCTGGGTGGAGTGTTCCTCAAGGGCAGAGTGGGGTTGCCCTGAAATGGGAGCTGTTTCCACCAAACTCCGACCACATTGGAATGGACGATGCCAGTTCTTGACTCCATCATCTGATGGGGAATCCTCACCATCAACCTCTTCCATCTCATCAAACGTCTCCTTTGTTGTGCGGACTTTCGAGTAAAGGAACTTGAGGACTGCTCTAAATTCTGCTGGGTCCATTCTCAAACCTCACCCCACTTCCGCACCTGTCAAATCAAGACTGTTCTCAGTTCTGAGTTGTCAATTGGCACGTGACCTATAGAGACTTACATCATGACACATGCGCAGTTTCAGCGTCCTGTGATAAACAGAAGTGGGTCAGGGGAAATCTTTAATGAATGCCCCTTGTATTCTGCCTCCAACCAGATTTCAGGATGACAGCATCCTCTCATTACTTGGGAAGTCCATGTTCAAGAGTCCACTTACCGAAATCATTTCGTCCTTCTTGCATTGTTGAGACAGGTCTCGGACTCCGCTGACAAACTGCTTGTTGGTGATGATGTAGGCCTTGCCGGCCTCGATCATGTTGCTGCATAGCTTCACCAGCTGCAGAAGAAAGAGAAGGGATGGGCACCTCTGGGCCAATATCTGCACATTCAACACAAACATTCTCCCTAGGAATCGCATCACCTTCATTGGCAAAAGGCAAATAACGGGTTTGAAACAATGCCATGAAAGCCTTTGGATAATAAATTTGAGACCTATGCAAGGATTCAGTGTCTATGCCATATAGCCAGTATTGGGCCTCTCAACCAAGCCAGATATCTCAGGCATTGTAGAAGACCTCCTTATCATTGCTAAGGAAACATTGCCAGTCCAGCCAGTGGAAGGTGGACCATCTTTAGTTCTTCTTGGCAATGTATCTTAGGATAACCCTGACAGCAGACCCTTGTGACCTCATCCTATCCCTATCTATCCATCCATCCATCCATCCTTCCATCTATCCATTAATCCATCCTTCCTTCCATCCACCCACCCACCTACCCACACACTCATCCATCCTTCCGTCCATCCATCCACCCACCCACCCACCCACTCACCCATCCATCCACCCACTCACCCATCCATCCACCCACTCACCCTTCCTTCCTTCCTTCCATCCATCCACCCATCCATGCATTCTTCCATCCATCCATCCATCCATCCATCCATCCATCCTTCCTTCCTTCCTTCCATCTATCTATTCATCCATTCATCCTTCCTTCCTTCCATGCACCCATCCTTCCTTCCATCCTTCCTTCCATCTATCTATTCGTCCATTCATCCTTCCTTCCTTCCATGCACCCTTCCTTCCTTCCTTCCTTCCTTCCTTCCTTCCTTCCTTCCTTCCATGCACCCATCCATTCTTCCATCCATCCATCCATCCATCCATCCATCCTTCATTCCTTCCTTCTTTCCTTCCTTCCTTCCATCTAGTCATCCATCCATCCATCCATCCATCCTTCCTTCCATCAATCCTTCCATCCATCCACCCTTCCTTCCATCTAGTCATCCATCCATCCTTCCTTCCTCCCACCCTTCCTCCCACCCACCCACCCACCCACCCACCCACCCACCTTTCCATCCATCCATCCATCCATCCATCCATCCTTTTATCCTGTGAACCCAAACACGGATGGATCTCGGCCAAACTTGGCACAAAATTTGGTTACTGGAAGAGTTTGGGGAGTGGGACTGACCTGCCTTTCAACCAGAGAAACGGTGACCTACACCAATGATGGACCTAGACCACACTTGGCACATCAACCCCACATGATTAACTCAACCTACTGGAAGGGTTTGAGGGGACTGAGTCACAATAGTGGGAGTTGTAGTTTACCTTGCAGCCAGAGAGCACACTGAACCCCACTAATGATGCATCCAAAGCAAACATGCACAACATAACAATTTTTAAGTACTGATGAGGAGTTTCTGGGGGTTAGCCTGGCACGACGTGAGCTGTAGTTCACCCACAAACTTATGCATTGTGTACAATTTAAAAATTGACTTTTTCAAATAATCTGAGCAATGCTAGGTATCCAAGCTAGTATGTGTGTATGTATGTGTGTGTATATGTGTGTGTGTGTATGTGTGTGTGTATATATGTGTGTATATATATGTGTATGTGTGTACATGTGTGTGCGTGTATATATGTGTATATATATGCATATATGTGTGTGTATATATGTGTGTGTATATATATGTGTGTGTATGTGTGTTTATATGTATGTGTGTATGTGTGTGTGTGTATATATGTGTGTGTGTATGAGTGTGTATATATGTGTGTGTGTATGCACACTACACACACAGATATATGTGTGTGTGTGTGTTTGTGTGTGTGTGTGTGTGTGTTTGTGTGTGTGTGTGTGTGTGTGTGTGTGGCGGGAAGGTAACGGTGCTCCATGCTGTCATGCTGGCCACATGACCTTGGAGGTGTCTATGGACAACGCCAGCTCTTTGACTTAGAAATGTTGATGAGCACCAACCCCCAGAGTCAGAGACGACTGGACTTAATGTCAGGGGGAAACCTTTAACATATATACACACACAAAATATGTATGTTTGTCTGCCTGTTTGTACCACAAAGGTTATTGCTAGGTGAAGTGACCCTCTAATGCCACTGGATTGGCTGTTACTTGGTGAAGTGTCCCTTTGTGATGTCACTGGGAAAGAAAGATGGCATATGTGCATGAGGGGAAGGGAGTAAAGAGCCACAAAGAGAGCCTGTTGCCATATACACATTGCGAGGTAGGCCCTGAGAGCTGGAGAAGGGAGAAAGTAGGTAGGCAGTGGTCCCAGCGACACCCAGGCAATGCCCTAGCAATCAAATTTAAAGGGGAAATGCAATTTCTGTTTCTGAAACGCGAGGAGAAACTAGATTCTTCTTCCTCCCTCCGCCGGCCCCGGGTTTTGCTATGTTGGGATTTCTCATAATCTCGGCTGTTTGGAATAAAGTTTGAGGACGTTTCCCTGGCCGCCCCTCCTTGGCCTTCTCCCTCCAAAGCATCCTCCCAGCGAAGAGCGCGCACGGCTCCTTTTGCCACGTTGCAGAAAGGCCTTCCCTGTTCCAACGCTCGCTGGTGTCCATCTGGGCGCCAGATGTGACCGGGAGCCACATCTGCTTGCTTTTGCGTTCCAATGCAGTGCTGCGAAGGCGCTTTTCGTGGAAGGCAGGAATGAAGGGAACGTGAGAAGCACATTCGAACGTTCGCTGTCCTTGGCCTTCCTTACCGAAATTTGGAAAGGAGAAAGTTGCAATGATAGAAACATATCTGCAGCTCAGAGGGTCAACAGTGTTGAAGCACTTGAACTGTTGTGGATTGTGTTCCAGTGATTCTCAATCTGGGGGTCGCGACCACGAGGGGGTTCGCAAGAGGTTTCAGGGGGGTCGTCAATAGCCATCCAAAAACATATATTTTTGATGGTCTTAGGCATCCCTTTGGTAGAGAAGGCTGAAAATCCCTTCCTTCAATGAGGGCCCCTAATAGAGCAGCGTTTCTCAACCTGGGGGTCGCGACCACAACGGGGGTCGCAAGGGGTTTCTGAGGGGTCGCTAAAGACCATCCAAAAATGTATATTTCTGATTGTCTTAGGAACCTCTTTGGTAGAGAAGGCAGAATATCTCTGCCGTCAATGAGGACCCCTAATAGAGCAGGGTTTCTCAACTTGGGGGTCGCAACGACAATGGGGTTTGCAAGGGGTTTCAAAGGAGTCACCAAAGACTATCAGAAAACGTATGTTTGTGATGGTCTTAGGAACCCCTTTGGTAGAGAAGGCTGAAGATCTCTGCCTTCAATGAGGGCCCCTAATAGATCAGCGTTTCTCAACCTGGGGGTCACAACCACAAAGGGGGGGGGTCGCAAGGGGTTTCTGAGGGGTTGCCAATGACAATGATGGACCTGGACCTAACTTGGCTTCTTCTAATAACCTGGGCAAAGCTAGGGACCCAAGTTAGTGAAGTACATCTCCCCTAAATCACAATCAATTCCTTCAAAATCCCTCCAGTATTTTTCGCTGGTCATGGGGATTCTGTGTGGGAAGTCTGGCCCAATTCTATAATTGGTGGGGTTCAGAATGCACTTTGATTAGAGGGGAACTATAAATCACAGCAGCTACAACTCCCAAACGTTAAGGTCAATTTTCCCCATACTCCACCAGTATTCACATTTGGGCATATTGAGTATCCGTGCTAAGTTTGGTCCAGATCCATCATTGTTTCAAGTCCACCAGTGCTCTCTGAATGTAGATGAACTACAACTCCCAAACTCAACGTCAATGCCCACCAAACCCTTCCAGTATTTTCTGTTCATCATGGGAGTTCTGTGTGCCAAGTTTGGTTCAATTCCATCGGTGGTGGAATTCAGAATGCTTTTTGATTGTGGGTTAACTATAAATCCCAAAAACTACAGCTCCCAAATGACAAAATCATTTCCATGGTTTCCTCCTTTCTGTTGAAATTGTCCATATCCTTGTTGATTACTCTGACATAGTAATTGTTAGGAAACCATGAAAATGAGCAAAATCTGTTTACCAGTTTTTTAAAAACTGGTAGACAGTAAATAAAGAACACTCAGGAGAATTCCAGACAGGAAACAATCAGGGCCAGCTAACACCTCCTAACAAAGGATTCCCCCAGGCAGTAAGCAGCTAGTCCTTGATTCTGCAAGGCCATTCAATGCTAATCGAGTTGGGCAATTGTTACATTAACACTTGCCTCAAACAGACAAGACACCTCCTAACAAAGGATTCCTCCAGGCAGCAATCAGCCAGGCTTTGCAGCTTCAAGGCCATTAAATGTTAATCAAGGTGATCATTTACAACATTCACACTTGCCTCCAACAGAGAAGAGTTCTTTCTCCCACCCTGCACATTATTCCACAGATATATAAACCCAATTTTCCACAGTTTCCAGCAGACCTCACAACCTCTGAGAAGGCCTGCTACAGATGCAGGCGAAACGTCAGGAGAGAATGCTTCTGGAACATGGTCATACAGCGCGGAAAACTAACAGCGACCCGGTCTCAAATCTCTTTTCTAGCTCACCTTGTCAAGCTTGGCTTCGATTTCCACCACATCTGTTTCCACTTCATCTATGGTCGCCCTGCAAGGAGGAAAGAGAGAGAGAAGCGGAAGTGAGTCCCTATCACCCGATATCACAAAAAGGCAAGAGGTGGTGATTAGATGAAGCCTAAGAGGAAAGTATTCCAACCAAAATATCTACATATCTCAATTTTCCTCGGCTGTTTCTCTCAAAATATGGCAGACATAAATCCCAACAATTACAACTCCCAAATGTCAAGGTCTATTTTCCCCAAACTTCACCAGTGTTCACATTTGGGAATATTGAGCATTCGTGGAGAGTTTGGTCCAAATCCATCATTATTTGAGTCCACAGTGCTCTCTGGATGTAGGTGAACTACAACTCCAAAACGCAAGGTCAATACCCACCAAACCCTTCCAGTATTTTCTGTTGGTCTGTTCTGTGTGCCAAGTGTGGTTCCATTCCATTGTTGGTGGGGTTCAGAATGCTCTTTGATTGTAGGTGAACTATAAATCCCAGCAACTACAACTCCCAAATGACAAAATCAATCTCCTCCGAACCCCACTAGTATTCAAATTTGGGTGTATCGGGTATTCACCACAACATGAGTGAATGAAAATACATCAAGCATATAAGATATTTGCATGACTATTCATAACAGGAGCAAATATGGAGTAGCAACAACAATAATGTTGTGGTTGGTGGTCACCACAACATGTGGAACTGTATTAAGGGATCGCGGCATTATGAAGGTTGAGAAACATTGTCCTAGATCTTCAGAGAGCTTCTGTTCAACCATTTCAAAGCTCTCTGCTTGAGTGGCGATGACATGATCGTCAGCATAGATGAAACTCTTTATCACTTCTGGCATTTGTAGGGGTCAACACAACACAAGGAACTGTATTAAGAGGTCATGACATTAGGAAGGTTGAGAAACACTGGTCTAAAGCTTTGGAGGTCCTCTGTTCAACCATTTCAAAGCTCCCTGTTTGAGCAGTGATGGCACAATCATCAGCATAGATGAAACTCATATCTATCCACCCATCCATTTATATATCGTATCTATCTGTCTGTCTGGTTCTAAACCTGTCGGTCCCCAGATGTTTTGGCCTTCAACTCCCAGGGAATTGTTTCCTGTGATATTTCCATGCCAATTCATAACAATAGCAAAATTTCTGTTACGAAGATGAATGAAAATAACTTTATGGTTGGGGGCCAACACTTCTTGAGGAAACACATTAAGAGGTCGCAGCATTAGGAAGGTTGAGAAACACTGACCTAGAGCTCCGGAGAGCTTCTGTTCAACCATTTCAAAGCTCCTTGCTTGAGTGGTGATGGCATGATCGTCAGCATAGATAAAACTCTGTCGTTTCTGGCATTTGTAGGGGTCACCACAACATGAGGAACTGTATTAAGGGGTCACAGTACTAGGAAGGTTGAGAAACATTGACCTAGATCTTCTCAGAGCTTCTGTTCAACCGTTTCAAAGCTCCCTGCTTGAGCAGTGATGGCATGATCGTCAGCATAGATTAAACTCTTTGTTGTTTCTGGCATTTGTAGGGGTCACCACAACATGAGGAACTGGATTAAGGGGTCGCGGCATTAGGAAGGTTGAGAAACATTGACCTAGAGCTTCGGAGAGCTTCTGTTCAACTATTTCAAAGCTCCTTGCTTGAGTGGTGATGACATGATCGTCAGCATAGATGAAACTTTTTGTCGTTTCTGGCATTTGTAGGGGTCACCACAACATGAGGAACTGTATTAAGGGGTCGCAGCATTAGGAAGGTTGAGAAACATTGACCTAGAGCTTCGCAGAGGTTCTATTCAACCATTTGCAGAGGTTCTATTCACCGCTCCCTGCTTGAGCAGTGATGGCATGATCGTCAGTATAGTTGAAACTCTTCGCTGCTTCTCGCATTTGTAGGGGTCACCACAACATGAGGAACTGCTGGAACTGAGGAATTAAGGGGTCATGACATTGGGAAGGTTGAGAAACACTGACCTAGATTACTTTCAACAGCTTTTGAAATGGGTCAGCTTTCAAATACTGGATATTTTGACCAGGGGATAATGGAAGCTTTAGTCAGAAATGAGCTTTCCCAAGTTCTGGGCCTGAGCGAGAAATCTGCTGAGTGCTTTTGTGCCCTGTTTTCCTCTGTTTGGAAAGCTTTCATCTTCCCAAAATCCTGTCCCCGGAGTGTTTTCTTCTGGACTCACATCCAAGTATTACATTAACGAAATATTCTTGTCTGCATCGAAGAGAGAAAGGCGCTCCCAGGCCAAGACCTGTGGCGTAAAATCTGGAAGTGCGGCCGAGCCAAAAACAGATACCTCTCCAGGATCTCATTCCTGCGGTCAAAATGGACAATGGCTCTTTGAAACCAGCACCTGGAAATGCGGTAAGCCATGGGGCCATCTCGTCCGCTCCAAAAAGCCTGGCCAAATCCCAGCGGACGGCAGCTCTTAGCCCTGCGGTCTGGGCTGCCGAGCGAGGAGGAAACGGAGGAGGCCTGCGAAACATCCTGGCTCTGGATTTGGAAGCGTGTGGACACCAAACACGCCTGCTTAACCCTTTCCTCGCTATCTGTTTCACATATTGCGTGAAGATCTATTCGGCAGTCAACAAACAGCCTACCCTCAATTAATGAATTACTATTATTATTATTATTATTATTATTATTATTATTAATCATTATGTGATCCATTGCAAAAGCCAGCAGAGTGATCTTGTTTGCTGTGGACTCATCTTGTTGTGTTTCAAATAATAATAATAATAATAATAATAATAATAATAATAATAATAACCATTTCCGCTACCTTGGCAGCCACCTCTCCACCAAAGTCAACATCGACGCCGAAATACAACACCGCCTGAGCTCTGCAAGCGCAGCATTCTTCCGAATGAAGCAGAGAGTGTTTGAGGAGCGGGACATCCGTAGGGAGACCAAGGGGCTTGTCTATAAAGCTATTGTCCTCCCTACCCTGCTCTATGCGTGTGAGATGTGGACTGTCTACAGACGTCACATGCAACTCCTGGAACAATTCCATCAGCGCTGCCTCTGGAAAATCCTGTAAATCTCCTGGGAAGACAAGCGGACAAACGTCAGTGTGCTGGAAGAAGCAAAGACCACCAGCATTGAAGCGATGGTCCTCCAACATCAACTCCGCTGGGCCGGCCACGTTGTCCGGATGCCTGACCACTGTCTCCCATAGCAGTTGCTCTGCTCTGAATTCAAGAACGGAAAACGGAATGTTGGTGGACAGGAAAAGAGATTGAAAGATGGGCTCAAAGCCAACCTTAAAAACTCTGGCATAGACACTGAGAACTGGGAAGCCCTGGCCCTTGAGCGCTCCAGCTGGAGGTCAGCTGTGACCAGCAGTGCTGCAGAATTTGAGGAGGCACGAGGGAGGGTGAAAGAGAGAAACGTGCCAGGAGGAAGGCGCGTCAAGCCAACCCCGACCGGGACCGCCTTCCACCTGGAAACCAATGCCCTCACTGTGGAAGAAGATGCAGAGCAAGAATAGGGCTCCACAGCCACATACGGACCCACAAGGAAATCCATAATGGAAGACCATCTTACTCGTCCAACGAGGGATCGCCTAAGTAAGTAAGTAAGTAATTAAGTAATTATAATAATCCAATAGAACAGCCAGCAGAGTGATCTTGTCTGCTGTGGACTCATCTTGTTATGTTTCTAATAATAATAATAATAATAATAATAATAATAATAATCCAATAGAACAGCCAGCAGAGTGATCTTGTCTGCTGTGGACTCATCTTGTTATGTTTCTAATAATAATAATAATAATAATAATAATAATAACAATACAACAGCCAACAGAGTGATCTTGTCGGCTGTGGACTCATCTTGTTGGGTTAATAATAATAATAATAATAATAATAATAATAATAATAGCCAGCAGAATGATCTTGCTGTGGACTCATCTTGTTGTGTTTCAAATAATAATAATAATAATAATAATAATAATAATCCAATTAACAGCCAGCAGAGTGATCTTGTCTGCTGTGGACTCATCTTGTTGTGTTTCAAATAATAATAATAATAATAATAATAATAATAATAATAATAATAATAATCCAATACAACAGCCAGCAGAGTGATCTTGTCTGCTGTGGACTCATCTTGTTATGTTTCTAATAATAATAATAATAATAATAATAATAATAATAATAATCCAATAGAACAGCCAGCAGAGTGATCTTGTCTGCTGTGGACTCATCTTGTTATGTTTCTAATAATAATAATAATAATAATAATAATAATAATAATAATCCAATACAACAGCCAGCAGAGTGATCTTGTCTGCTGCGGACTCATCTTGTTGTGTTTCTAATAATAATAATAATAATAATAAAAATAATCCAATATAACAGCCAGCAGAGTGATCTTGTCTGCGGACTCATCTTGTTGTGTTTCTAATAATAATAATAATAATAATAATAATAATAATAATCCAATAGAACAGCCAGCAGAGTGATCTTGTCTGCTGTGGACTCATCTTGTTGTGTTTCTAACAATAATAATAATAATAAAAATAATCCAATATAACAGCCAGCAGAGTGATCTTGTCTGCTATGGACTCATCTTGTTGTGTTTCTAATAATAATAATAATAATAATAATAATAATAATAATAATAATAATCCAATAGCACAGCCAGCAGAGTGATCTTGTCTGCTGTGGACTCATCTTGTTGTGTTTCTAACAACAACAACGACAACAACAACAATAATCCAATAGAACAGCCAGCAGACTGATCTTATCTGCTGTGGACTCATCTTGTTGTGTTTCTAATAACAACAACAACAACAACAACAATAATAATCAAATACAACAGCCAGCAGACTGATCTTGTCTGCTGTGGACTCATCTTGTTGTGTTTCAAATAATAATAATAATACTAATAATACTAATAATAATAATAATAATAATCCAATAGCACAGCCAGCAGAGTGATCTTGTCTGCTGTGGACTCATCTTATTGTGTTTCTAACAACAACAACAACAACAACAACAATCCAATAGAACAGCCAGCAGA